AGGGACCTGAGACCCCCACCCCCACCACGCACCAGGATCCAAGTCCCGGTAACTTTCAGCCAGCCTCCATGCTGAAGCACATGCCATGCTACGTTTGTTTTTTGTTTTTTTTTCCGGCACTGGAATATTCCAGCCTTGTCCATCACCAGGATTCGAGGAAAGATGTCCAGGCTGCCTCGACAGTAAAGTCCCGCGCCAAAAAACGATTCAGCGTCACATTGCTCTTTAAATAGATTTTATGAGGGTTAATGTACAGTACATCACAAGAACTGTGCAACCGAGGAGACCATCACCCATGTCCGATCTGTATGTGCGGTACTGTTAAGTCGCATGTCTTTTTTTAGTACCTGCAGTAAATGTCTACGTACAGCAAGTGTACATCGATTTTCTGAGTTAGCGACCCCTCTCCCACCAGCCCCCCCCGTCTCTCTCCAATGTGTTGAAGTGACAAAGTGGCGTCAGAGCCTAAGCTGGCTGCTGTGTCTGTAAGCCCCAGGAAGGTCATTATTATCCCCCCCCCGCCCCCCCCCCCCCACTCTGTTCGGTGTAATAACAGCAATTAGAAGACATCTGCTGTTCATATAGCTCAGCTTTGGATGCTGGCAGACACCCATTATTATGAACGTGCATCGCCCCCCCCCAGCCAAAGCAAGGCCTGCTCCCAAGGATTCATTAGATGCGCCTGAGCGATTAGCTCCATTGAAACGTTCGCACATGCCGGCGAATAGAAGCCTGACATGGGGGATGATGTAAATGGCAGAATCGATCAGGTCCTCCGACGGCTTGTGTTGTCGTTCGGCGCATGGCGTGGGAGGAAAAGTGGGCAATCTGCATCCTTAGATGGGTACAGCTACCAGCCAGACCCAAAGTGAAAAGCCCTGAATGCAAAATTAAAAGATGAATGCCAAATCAGCAGCAATGACACTAGCCTTCGCCTGCTAGCCATCTTGGCGAAAAATAACATATGGTGACAGATTAATCTTAGGTTTGCTTTACTTGTTCTTTAAATAAAAGCTGATAATGGAGAAAGGTCTGCTGCTGATGCAAGAAGGGGAGTAAAAATTGTTTCTGATCTTAGCTCAAACGATTTCATATAATCATGAAACATTTTACATCAAAGAGCTGCCTTGATATCAAATAATTATATTTCCCAATTAAACTCAATAAAGGCCATCATTTTCATTCTTTCGATATTGATTTTTGAATCTGTATTAATCGGTTTCATTCTCAGGAGCAGTGAGTCAAAGATATATCCCAAAGTATTTCTCTCTTCGTAGTTTTATTCTAAAGGTTACTTAAATCAAACAGAACTGTAAACTCACAATAAAAGATGACTAAATATTTTTATATGCTATTCTGGTGTAGAATCTCACAGGAAAAGTATTGTGGTCTTATCTCAATTCCACCTACGTAAAATCAGCGCTACACAACGGTGACACAAATCATTTCTGAATATATCACAGAAGGTTCACTTGGATACAAACAATATATCTCAGAAGTTTCAAAGAGGGGGGTACGCTTTATCTCTGCACCCAGTCTCCCAGGACATCAAACAAAATTCCTAGGAATTTCAAACTGTTTCTTTTCCTGACCAACACTGATGATGTTTAGGAGAAGTGTCTCAAACGACATGGGTGCATTTCTGAGTGGGGTTCCTCACAAGAACTGAAAATGACGGAGCCGAACAGCGAAAATTAAAATTTCTGTGGTCCACTCAGCAGATGGATTTGATTTTCACCCCAAACTCAGTTCAAGAGCCTCCCGTTTAAACAGCCACCTTAGCAAATGCAAGCAAACAATGGCGATCTTTATACAGCAGGCGCGTGATCCCGTGAGCATCGTCGCTGGCTGTCGGCTGGCTCCCTGAATCTGCCAGACGCAGCGTGCTGGTATCCAAGGTGCCTCTTTCAGCGCTGTAGGGCCACACACTGCCGGCAGGTTTTGGCACAGAGCATCACCAGATGCCACACGAGTCCCTCACGCTGTGCGGGGGGTTCTGAACCTGTGGGGGTTCTGAACCTGCAGCAGCCGTGACATTTACATTAAAATGCCCGGCTGACACTGTCATCCTGGACTGATTTTCTGCTTTGCTGATTTCTTTCTTCTTTTTTTTCCAACCCATTTGCACAGGTGGGTATTTTTACTGGAGCCATTAAAAATATACACCCCAGTCCAGGGAACTACAACAAGCGAACCTGAACCTCCTTTAACCCAAACCTGAGCCCCTTAACCCCTAACTACCCACTGCTGCCAACCACTGACCTCGACAACCTAACCATGTAATGGTTAACATGTCATGAATTAAATGCTTCAAAATGTTCAAATCAGATATTTTGAATAATGCTAGCCTGGGTATATTTAACGTTTAGACTTTTTGTCATATATGGATACAGCGTGTGCAAAAGTGAGAGCAATGGTCAGACTCAATATGACAGTAAATTGAGAGTAATTTCATTACAAATACATTTCCGTAATCTTTTGATTGCCCCAGAGATTACATTTTCTTAGATTTGCCCCAAAGTGACACTAGGTGATTGAAATCGCAGAATTAAATAACTGACATAATAAGGCATTACTGTGCGTACTGTACTTCTGTCAGCTGAGCCATACCTACCAAAGCAGTACTGAAGTCAGATAAATTCATTTTCCATCAAAAAGCAAAGTCAACAGGGATCCTCAAGTTCTTCAGCATGTGAAGCATCAGCACTTCAAAACTGTCGGTGTGTTTAATAATTCCAACAGTGGGGGATTGCTTTTCATTTTCTCACTGTACCACACAGAAGCGGTCAAATCCATCACCCTGATGCGTTGCCATGGAAACGCACTGTAGCAAATCAGACACATTCCACAGTGAAATTATTTCAGTGGTGATAGATGCAAGAACAACTCATGTAGCGAGGTGGGCCGACTTTAATTGCTGTTTAAAAGTGGCTGGTTAAAGACTAGTTAAACCGTTTTTGCAAGAAGGGCATGTAGCTAATTACATGCACACCTGCCCCAACACCTCCACACATGCTACACACAGGCAGAGACAAATATTAACAGATGCCGTCATCATCATTAATGAATTTCCAAATAAAAACTGAGGTTTAACTTAAATTTGATCAAGAAAAATGCAGAATGTTGTCCTGAAAAAGTTCGAAATATCCACATCCAAGCCATCTAAACTGTTTTTCCTGTTTCTGCTACAGTAAAGCTCCAATTTAAATAGTCTTCACAAGTAAAACATTTCTATCCTTAACTATATAGTAATAGGCCTATATATTAGTAATAATACGTGCATGTTTTTACAACGTCAGCAAGCATGCCATTAAGATGAGTCGCGGTGTTAAAATGTTGGATACCAGTTAAAATGTGGTGAAATTTTCATTCAGGCAGTTGACTTTAACTAATATGTTCGTGTCAGCACTACGAATGGAGATTTTTTGTCTTTATCTGTGTGCAGTTTGCATCAGCTCACAAAGGCATGAAACTGCGGCAAATGACTTAAATCTTGAAAGGAAGTGTGAATCGTGTTTCTGGTAAACGCGGCAGCTGAACGCTCATTCTCATCGTGACAGCTATCGCCAGAGGCTGTCCAGTCATCATTTCTGTGCAGACATTCCAATTCACACGACACTAAGGGTTAAATAACCGTGCCGTGTGTGCGTGCAGGTTAGCCTACATGCAGCTCAGCATAATTCAGAATTTTTTCTCTCCCTCTTTCAGTTGTAAAGACAAAAAAAAAAAACTATAATTAAATCGTGTTTTGTGCGCCTTTCTTTGACAGCAGCCCACCAATTCTGTGTTGCCTGTGGGCAGACAATATACTAATCGCCGTGGCCCCAGTAAAGAACAGGAAATGCTGCAGAAATCAGAAGTCAACACACGGATTTTTATGGCGTAGGGACCCCTGTGCCACATTCACGCAGCTCAGAAAATAGCCCGAGTTATCCACGCTCTATTTCCCAGAACTATGTCATAGATGTTGCATCTCCTTACCCCATTTAGAAGATAATGCACATCGCTAGGTCATACTCTGACTAATTTATCCTGCGTTTAATAATAGCTAGTTTTTGTGGTGTAGTAACACGATGAGCAAACAACTGTATATTAGAGTGAGTCATATTAAATGTTTATAGCGATCTTTCATTGTGCACTTGCATTTGCAAAAGCTTTAAAATATATTACATTAATATATATGTAGTCTTCACACAGCAATAGAACTGACGCGGCTTAATGGATGTTTATGATGATTCACGTAAATGGAAGATGGATATAAATAAAATGACTGTAGCTTATAGTATATTTACACCTTCTCCTGAGCTAAGGGAAAATTTTAGTAGTTGTTTACTATATTTAACACGTCACAATACATATGTCCTCTCCAAAGGTCGTTGGTCGCGGTTTTATGGTGCATCATCTTCTGGATCCATTCATCATAAAAATGAAGGGGAAACTTTACTATATTTCCCAAGAATAATGATAAAAGTTATGTTAGATACTATTAAACCAAAAGCAATATAATTTTTATTTCGTGCTTAAGGCTATCGAGAAAAAATCTTGGATTATTCACTACTATTATTCAAGGATTTCTGATCACAAGGCTACACTGCATTATGTGTGCCATAACGAAAATGATGACTACACGAAAGTGATGGCGTTTCTGCAAAAATAACACCGTGAAGTAATACCACAATGCATACAACAGCCAATAAAACACCCGGTGACATTCAAAAGCAGCAGGATTGGGGTTTTAAATTTTAAAATTCCTCAAGAAAAAAAAACCAAAATGAATGCATGTGTACCCCCCTCCTTCCCTTGGGTTTGACATTATTTCAGAGCTTCATTATTTCTTTGTAAATGCCCCGTCTCGCTCGCACATTCTCACACACTAAACGAACCTCGTTTCCTTCCTGGTCCAATAGAGCGCAGACCGGTTCAATCGAATTGGCGCCGGCTTAGCCAATAGCGCGCCTACTTGTAGATCACGTGACCGCACCCCCCCCCCCGTCCCTTGTCTATCTACTTGGACCGAAGACTTCAATCTGGAAACACAGACGGGAGCCAAAGTACAGCAACGGGACAACTGAATTCAGAAGTAGCGCAATCAAAAGAGATCAGTACAAGCAGTAGAAAATTATGTTTCTTTATGTCTTTCGAATGGACTTTCCCCCCTGCTGTCATAAGGTTCGACGCATTTTAAATGCCGTTATGAGAAAGGATTGTAAGTATTTTTTTTAAATCTTACTGATCACAATTACTACTGTTGAAGTTGGTGTATATGTCTGTGTGTTGCATGTGGAAATGTGACCGCAGATTCATATGTACCACCGAAATTGCGCTGGCACACATCGTTGAGTTCAGATAAAGTATTTGTTAAAATCAATTTTAATCGAATTATTATTCATATAATTTTATTTATTTATTTATTTATTTATTCATTCATTCTTTGTATATCCTTCAGTAGGAATGCTGTTCCAGAATTCTGCATTCATTCGTGTGTTTTTACTGATGTCGCCTATTCGCTTGCGGGTGTCTAACAGGCGCGGTTTTATGAAATAAATAAGTACGGCGAACCCATTGACCCTACTTACAAGGGCGCTCAGCTGTCCACGGGGTCGACACGGCTGAGCTGCTCTAATTACCCTTACAAAAGTATAGGAAGGCATGCGAGCACATATCTGTAAAGTGTATATCCTGTCCGTCTTGAAAAGGCGTGATGTTGCCACCTGGGACATGGCTTCATGTTACTTAATGATCCATGCGGTATTATTCTATTAATGGTATTTTAAAATAGGTTTTAAATGCGTTTTACAGATATCGGCTTTCTTTTCTCCGAGAATGGCGATTCCAGAGCACTATTTGCAATTATACTAAGTGTGCACTTGTGAACGGCGAGTTTTCTAAACTCAAGCATATTTGCACATAGCTTTTGATTTTTCTTCAAATATGAATGAAAATGTTTACTGTTTGATCACTTTATATAGATAAACATAAGAGGAACACGTCTGGGTGTAAAAGATATCTTTCCACATTAATATTTTATTAGAATATGAACAAATACCTCAGTTTTGTGAAGCTCCAGTTCTCTATGCTTAAGATTTATAAAAATCTGCTCCCTTCCGATCTGGGGCTCGGACTGAAACGCAGAGCACAGAGATCCACTCTAGTTGAGGGTCTCTGAATTAAAGTTTTTGAAAAGACATTTTTTTTTGTAAAACCCTCCATGCACTGCCTTTGTCTATCAGTTCAGTTATCTACACCTCCCCCCACCTCCGCCCTCAGCAGGCAAAGACACCTGAAGGCGAGACATAATGATCAGCAAAGCCCGACTCGGTCTGCTCTGACACCGTCTAGCCCTTTCTATAATGAAGATACTGGCATGCACAGGTCCAATTCTGCCACAGGGTCCAGGTCGGATATGGAGATACAGGGCAGCGGAAGCACAAAGACGGGGCTCTTTGTCTTTTGGGGACCGGGAGACAATTTTGAGCAAAGTTGTGCTTCAAAACAGTTAAAAAAAATCCACAGCAACATATAGTGTAATATTTTCATGCATGCATATATATTATATTTACATATGGATGCATGTGTACTACACTACTTCTACATGCACATGCATATATAAATATATTATCAGCAGCATATAGAATTGCTAAAAAGGGAAACTGAGGTTTAATAAGTAGAGGCAGTTCATTTCTGTTCCCACCTGAGGAAGGGTATCAGGATAGTTTCGTGTCCTCTGTCAGAATCTGTATCCGTATGCTCTTGACTGATTGCATGCAGTAAAGCCAAAAATGGGACAGCATTTAAAAATCAATAGCATTTCTTGTATGCTGCGTAAGTCAAGAATAAGGCTATTAAATTAAATTTTATTAAATAAAATTAAACTGTGAACTGGATTAAACAGGTAAAAATGTGTGATAGTTTTTAGCTTATTACTATTGATGGCGAAAAAATGGTTTCACTGGTCTGGCTTACTTTGTAAACATTATAATAAAGTCTTTACTGAGTCTTAGTGTCCTATTCTTTTGTTTATGGCTTTGTCCATTGGTTAGCTGCAGATTTACTTTCATTTTCAATTTGTGTCCTCTCAGCATTAAATCATTTTTCAATGCTCTCTCACCCCACCCCCCCCCCCCCCAAAAAAAAACAACTTATACTTTAGGTAAAAGCAGTTCCCTTCCAAACACATGTATGTATATTTGTCTCAATTGTGTTTGTTTATTAGCCGATTGAGCATGTGGCTTCTGAATGTTTAGATTAGACTTTTCCCTTTTGATAATGTCTTTCCTCTCGGCCTCCTTAATAATTCCAGCAAATGAAAGCACTCCCATTTGGGGTCTAATACGCCATGTGTACAGGAAGGGGCCTGGTGAGTGAAGTCTTTGTAGGGCCCCACGCATCAAGCCTACTCTCTGTGCCTGCCACAAAATGAGAAATGTAGGCTAATCTAAACGTTTTCGCATCGCAGGCACTTTTTAGGACGACTCATTTATACCCCAAAACTATCAGTCGAGGAAATGCTACAAAAATATCTAATTGCCTGTTGATCAAAACCAGATGTAAAATTCCGTAGCCTTTATTTTTTTGTTTTTGTCACAATGAACTACCTTCAGGATTGAAATTAGGCCTCACGAGTTTTTTTATTAAATGGACTGCTCTGCACTGACATGCTTGGTGTAATCTTATAAAATATTCAGGTAATATGTTAGAAGCAGAGTGGTTAGGGTTTAAGATCTTAAAAGTCAGAGAGCCGGTGTTTACTGTATCGATCATTTAAATCGCTATTGCTCATTTTTATTGCGGCGTAATTCCGGCACAGTCTATGGAAAAACGGGACTGGGTGTCAGCAGCGCTATGGCTTCCACCCATCCGCCATGTGCCGAGGGAGGACAGTGACAAAGGAGATAGAAAACAGGCTGTTCTGGGGTCTGAGGCGCGCTACCTGAAACTGAATGGTGAAGGGGCGGGGGCCCACTGAATTTTTTTTTCCTCTGGCGGTGACTGTCGAGTGGGCCTAGAGAGAGGGGAAACTGCGGTCAAAGGCCGGCGTGGCCCGGGCTACACGCGGGGCCCGCCATGTTGTCGCGGAAACGGCCGCTTGTGGTAACGTCTTCACATTCCAGAATTCGGGGGCAAAGCCTGCACCGCCAGCCAGACGTTTGAGAAAAAGCGAGCAGGTCTTCGCCTTGCCGTACCGGTTTTAAGTTTCACTTTTAAAGCAGTAATTACAGGATTATCATTTCCTTCCAGCTAAATGTTAGTCCTTTATTTTTTATTTACACATGACGTCTTAAAAGATCTCTTTTGAGTAAAATGTCTACTTTAAATTTGACTCTGCCTGTGGGCTGAAGACTTATTTTATATTCTGTTTTTGTTTTATAATTTGTATATTTAATTATATTTTAATTATATCAGTGAAAATATTAGCAAAACTTTCATTTACTTAATTAAATCTTTTGAATGCGGTGGCAGGGCTACAGATTATATTTTTTTGTTTCGCTGGAATAGGTAGAAATCTTACAAATATATTTTATAATGTCAAATTTTAGATTTGCTTGCTTTTTTTTAAATTAATGCCAACACTGGCATAATGTTTAGTTCGAATACTGATCTGAAACTATGCAGCCACTGTTACAGTCCAGAGCGAAACATTAAAATTACGACCGTGCTTTCTGTCGGTGACAGGAGTACCATGAATGGGTTAAGGAAAAAAGAAAATGGAGAATTATGCTGGGTCGCTGTTGCTTTAGATTTCCACGATTCTGGATGGAGAATGCATGTCGTGAGATGAAGCGCCACCCTTTGTCCGCACTTACTTGGGAGTGTTTAAGTCTTGTTGAGTCGAAACCCTTGAAAGGATGACCTTTGTCCCCGAGTGCCCCTCCCCTGTTCCAGGTGGTGCTCTCGTGGCGGAGGTCCGCACAATGCACAAGCGAATCCGGATGGGACACAGCAAGGGAACATACACAAGTGTTGTATTTTTTGATATGTTTGACTTGAGGCGATACCACGCTGAAAGGCTCTGAAAAGATCAGAGTGCCACGCCACATCACCTCCGGACCTGCTGATTGGCTCCCCATGTGTTATTAAAATTCCCTAATAGAAGCACTTATGGGCCTTAGGCGAGCCTAGTGGTTACGCGCGGTACGGTTAATGAGCCACTTCACATTAGCTCTAATTCCGCGCAGGCGGCGCAGCTTGATAACGCGAGACGTCAGTGCCTGGGCTGTTTGCACGCAATTACCCACCCCATCTTGCATTTGCATTCATTTACCCAGAAGACACTCCTGTGCTATGTGCCTCGTGAGCCAATCCGAATGTTGAAAACAGACAGCGATGTCGTTTACGTCAACAGAGACAATAAATAATAAACAGATGCGCTGTGAAACTTTAGGTGCGGGGTGGAATTGAGTGTATATACATAAGATATGAAAGCACACTCTTTGGGATAGCAGAATTCCAGCCAGAAGCCTTCTGGGATCAAGCGCAGATTGTAGGGGGGGGCTTTTGTTGGGGAGTCACAGGAAACCTGAGTCTGAGGGGAACCACATCGGATGGGGAATGGGATCAATTCTCCAGCTTTTTAGGGGGTTCTGGTGTTGCCAACCATATTGACCTTGGAATGATGGAGGGCTTGATGTTCCGTAGGCAAGACGATGTTGTTACATTCCTTTGATGGCCTTTGATTGCCAGTGTCTAGGCTTTAATCAACATATGGGCTTCAACCAGCTGCCAATGCTGGGAGATGAAGACGGATAAAATGTAACTATCCCAGCCTGTTAAACACACACGTATAAATGTTTCAGTTCCTGATTTCAGATACATATATATATTATATAGTTGTCAACTGTCATTTTCTTGACTTCCATCACACTACTGGATATAAAATCTTTTCATTCTGTAATGTTTTTTAGAATATATATAAAACCGCCCTTAAATAAATGTACGGATTCTCTTAAACATGCGACTATCCTGAACATCTTAAAGCGGCAGTCGCATTGATTAGCCGCAGCTGCATGCAGTGGAGCCGGCCACTCAGGCAGCTGGAGATAATGAAGTTTGACTCCTGAAGGATAAACTGGATACGGAATTTCCTCAACTATTTTGGACAAGGCCAGGATTACACAGCGAGGGGGGGATCCAGGAAATGACTGGCGAATTCTGTAAATACATACACTAAAATATATATTAAAAATCCTGTATTCAAATATATTATAG